GCTGAAACAAACCAAAAATCCCTACGTAATGCCTGCAAATCTCATGAAGAATATCACTCGTGCACGTAAAAAAGCGATCAAATGTGTGAATGCCGCAGCTCGAAAAACTAGCTCCAAAAAGTCAGGTTAGGTTATTCAGATAACTCTGTGAAATGCTGGCCTCTAGCCACAGCTTGAAATTTGACGCGGTTACTTGCAAATATGACGCGGAAGAAATGCAATTTCAGTTCTGCTTGACAATTCACAATCTCGAGTGGTTTGGGAATTTGAATGATCTGATTTGGATCTTGAGTGATGAGCTCAGCTTGACAGGGGACACTATAAAGTTAGCGTATCATTCCTAATCCAAACTGAAGTGATCACAAGAATTATATTTAAGTGAGGTTGTGCCGTATCGTAACAGCTGCTCGTTGCTTCATTGTTGGATTTGATATGCCCACTGTAATAGAATCTTTTGATCAACTGACATTGAATCTTCTTCCTGTTCCAATTCGCACTTCTATTCCGGCGTAATGTGAGATTTAGAACTCACTTCAGGTGTGAAATTACCGCATTGTGAAGATGACTCCAAAGTTCTGCGTAAACCGTCTCGAAGAAGTGTTGGCTCATTGTTGAAGGCAGCTGCTGCAAAACGTGATATTGATTCTGATAAGGATACATCAGCAGTAACATTTCTGCAAACGAATGAAGAAGATTTCAACGAAATTGATGAGAAGAAACGAGATGGAACAAAGCAGTCAGCTTTTCTCGTTGATCGCATGCAACGAATCCTATCGACATCTGCATCATATCTGGACTCGATATCCGCAAATCCGACTGATCCATCGGATCTCATCAATCCGTCAAATAATCCACAATTCTCTGCATCTCTGAATTCTGATGACAGTCCGAATTTTTCAACGCACACAACAAATACCACGGCTGTACTGAATTCAACATTCCAGACTACTCCAGATCATGAACATTTTTCTCAAAATAATCAGCCAGAGACTGAACCTACGCTCTCCGATATAGTGAAGTTGTCTGTATCAGCAAACATTCCAATTACTTCTGTTGCTTCCGAATTTCTCTCCAACAAGAGGGAATGGTCAATTGTTGTTCCTTCTTCAAAATCGAATCCGACTGCTGACGATATGATGAATCCAACTTCAAGCGCCAAAAACGCTGTTTCATGCGTTAATGTCTCGGATATCTCACGTCGGAATGGTTCCACAAGTGCGCTTTCTAGTTGTATTGTCACCTCCGACAGTGTCACTACGAGTAATTCACAAGTTCCGATGGCTACAGCAACAGCCACCGCTACGGCTACTGCAACTGCAACAGTTTCATCAAGTCATGATTATTTCGATTCTGAATTTTGTCGATCCAAAAGAAGTTGTTCTCGTAAACGTAAAAAGGGCCAAAATACAATTGGGGCGCTCATTAAAAGACATCAAGGAGCGTCGTCTTCGGTATGGGCTGCTTCAGAAGCAGAACAGCAATTGTTTTTGCGTGCGTCGTGTAGCAGTATTTTTGAGGCTGAGGCTCCCGAGGAGGATGAGGACCAAGCAGATATCACTCCAAACATGTGTCAGTGTGGCGAGAAAGCATCTGCGAAATTAACAGATAAGTTGAGCAAAGATGCACGATTGGAGACGGTTATCAACAGTGTTTTGAACGCCGATCGAGGATCAGTGAAGCAGAGCGTTGAAAATAACGACAGTCAAAATAACTGTAAAGATAATAACTGTTGTAACAATCTTAACAGTAGCAATACTAATAGCAATGATTACAATAATGGTAATAGCTGCCACCGAAAGAGTGCTGATAAAAGTGATCAAGCCTCATTAGCATCGTTATCTTCGTTGCAAACGAATACTCAACCGGGACTGATAACAATTGACGATAGCGATAGTGACGATGCTGGTTCTGTGCGTAATCGACGAATCGGTAATCGCGATTCTGAATCTGGTATCACCTCAGCGGATATCAGATGCTCAGCTGAACTCTCAAAGACTCCATCAGTGACAGTCACAAATCGAGGATTACCTTCAGATATTGCCCTAAATTGTTCTCTTAGATCGACTTGTTCTCCATCATACGCTCTACCAACGCACTCAGTATTCCGGTTGGCCTTGAGTAATGTGCCGATCACGCAGAATGTACGATATTTGGATTCCGGACTAACGTTTTCGTTGAATGCATGCGATCACCCGATAGCCATAAATGAGCGATACGTGATATTTACGACAGATAAGTTGTTGGATTTGCTGGAATGTGATGAATGGTCGATTGATATCGACACAGTTGCCTTACCGGACTCGTTCGCATACGGTCAGCTGCTGAATTTTTATCGCTGTATCAATGGCTACAATATACGTTGCGCATGGATTCTGCTGTGCTCACGTAATGTGGCGTTATGTGCTCAAGCGTTAAAATCACTGAGGTCAACACCGAAGAATTTGCATCCGAAAGTGATCAGCATTGACTATGATCGATCGTTAATGGTTGCGGTTGAGGTGCGTTTTGAACAGTTATCTGGGTCTTATTCGGTTGAATTGGTTGGAAAATGGTGACGCGCAGTGAGAATAAGCGAACCTCATAATGATTTGAGTATCAGTAGTTTCGAAACAATGCTCATGATAATCTTCACAAAAAACAGTAAACAATAGGAATTAAGGGTAATGAATAAAGCAGCAGAAAAACTTTGCCATGAAAACATGGGAAGCCGCATAATTGAACATTTGTATTCGGCTTTGCAAAAAATTGCTCTTTTCTCTTCCAGTTACACCCGTCCACCAGAGTTGGGGTCATCTCAGATCCAGCCTTAAAGTTTCGTCGTAATCGCTCGCAAAATTTTATGTTTTATGGAGCGTGCCATTATAGTTTAGAACAAGTACCTCACAAGCAAGACTCAAATTCGCAGTATGTAAGCGATTGGTGGTTCAGTCTCTTCCATGCACTAGTTTCCATTTGTTGTCCACTATGAATTCAGAGCCTAAAGTGTCTGAAGATAAGCCAACCTTCTGATCCGCTTAAAACGTCAAAAGATACTTCTAGCGAGCGTTTCCTGGTGTTCGCATTGTGGGAAGTTATGAGCACATGTGTCGTCGTATCGCTGCTGAAATCAATCGACATTCACTGGATCAACTTTGTGCAGCGTATTCTCATACCGTTCAAAAAATCAAACTTCTTTTGACACTCGCTCTAATACCAGCTGATTTTGTTTTGGATATTTTTCGTAAGTGCCTTTTCGTTACTGCTTGCTGTCACTCATTACAGCTACCTTTGTCGTTTTTGTTCGATCGACTTTTTCAAGAAATATTTGCGATAATTTGATCAAAACTGGCAGTATTAACATTGTTGAACCGTTCTATCCCATCGTCATACGGCTTGGATGAATTTGATGGAAACATCTGTATGACTGCCATGACACACAATTCAAAAAGATTTAGCGACGCTTCCGTTTTCAGAAGAATTAGAAGACCGAATAAGTTTGCCAGTGGAAGCACAAGCAGTGCTTCATTATTTCGAGGATACTTTCATTGGTCGCCCTTTTCGTGCTATTCGAAAATCACCCGTTTTCAGTTTGAGTATGTGGAATATTCATCAAAATCGACTGGCATCTCAGCATTCACCATTCGAGGTTTGAAATGCTCTATTTCACATTACGTCTATGTGGTTTTGAGAAATTCGTTTTGTAAATTATCACAACAATCCAATATGCATTAAGCAGCAAAAATTCTCGAGAGTCAATACCTTTATGCAATTACATTAAATACCGATGAGTTGAACTGAACAAGCGCAAAATGCGTCAGGGGGGAATCGAACCCCCGTCGATTGCTTGGAAGGCAACCATGCTGACCATTACACCACTGACGCTTCGAGCACGCTGCAGTCTCGTCTAGTAATAATTACAACGCCATACCTGTTTAATTAACTCTGCGATATCAACTAGCAAATAATTTTTCTGTAATGTGTGAAATCGGATGGCGACAATACTAAGAAGAAACAATCGAAGTTGGATTATAATGTTGAAGCAGTAACTGAATTTATAATATTAGTTATCGTACGGATCGAATATAACGTAGGCTCCAAAGTTTGCTCATTTACCGTTTGCAGATCGCTAATTTTCGGGGTCCAGAAAGAAGATATTGGAAATCTGTTGGAAAGATATGCCAAGTCACGTATTGCATCTCACTATTCGAAGCTATAATTATGTCATAGCATAAGTCGATAGCATCTCATGAGATTCTTCGTTCTGATTCGTTGCACCTCTGAAGCGGTTAACAATATTCCATCAGCGGTTAGCATAGGAAGATTCAGAACAAAAAAAAACATTCGCGTACCATTTCTTTGAAACGTTGTTTATAGACAGCTAATTCTGAAGAACCTTTTCAGATCTGGCCAAAACGCACATGGGGACGTGATCGATGTGGAAGTTGTCGATTGACGCTGAACGATTTTGAGGCGAATTTAAAGGAAGAATACGCCGCATCAATGCATTTATATGAGCAATTGATGTGCTTGAATATCACTTCCGAACAACATGAACAGATCAAAATGCGCAATAATAAAACGAAAACAATGATCGCCAATTTTCGTCGTGATGAAGCATTCGTCTTTCTCAACGAAATGGCCAAACAAATTCAGTTGTGATTTTAAATTGCGATACTAATTTACATTGTCATTTTACATTGGGATATTTGGAGTCTACGTTGTTGTTCGTTTCAGAAAAGGAGAGATGTATTCCATGCTTTTTATTCTGTCTTGGAATTCTGAGGCTATTATCATGTTATGCTGTTTTTTTGTTGTGATATTTTCTCGGTTTATGCGGATGAGTTATGCCTGTACTTTGAAATTGTTTGAATACCTCAGTGAGGATTGAGAAATTTCATCGAGCAGTATTCATGATATTTGGTAACACTACGAAAATATCTCGTCACTCATCAAATGACCGCTTCGTGCCATAGGACCATTTTCGATAATCGTATTCCCGTGTGTACGTTGTTGCCTATTTACCAAGATTCATCTCCGAAAGGCAGCCCCATGTTAGTGCCTTGTAGGCTGTTGAACACCGCTTGCTCGAATCTTTAGATGCATTGTTTTTCGCATTATTTACCTCGTATCACGCAATGTTGACCATTGTTCTCTGATTTCCTGAATTACCTGTGTTATCTCTTTGTGAACAGCTGATCATACCTTTAATTGTTCTCAGAACCGTAGTGGCAGCAATAATGATTATTAGTGGCGACGGCAATGATTCTCGACTTTCGGACATCGTTTCGGTCCACGATGAACTGAACGATGCCTGATGCCCCATGATCACAAGTCGTCATAAAGTCTATTTTGCACTCTACTATGAGTACTCACTTGATTTGTGCCAGACATTTTCTACTCTAGTCTCATCCCGGAATGTTCTCAGATAGCCAAATGTACGAACGGTTCCAATTTGGTGCAAATGATTAGCCTAACAGTTCAACGATTATCATTTCATGCACTGCCATTCCATAGTGCTAACGGTGATACTGATAGAAACCACATTGATAGTAATAATTTTTCGTGCGTACTGATGTCAGTGTTTTGTTTTCACATATCTCTACGCATAATTAAATATGCATATTTGTTTTGTTAATAATCTGGTGAATGCGTCATTGATTTGCCTTCGTAATCGTCGTTTAACATGTGACACTGACGAATGCTGTTGTGAATGCGGCTGGTCTTAGTATGTGTTGACGGAGTTATGTTTGATTAATAACTTATTTTTGATGAATAACATCCTCATAAATTATTCATCTCGGCCAGTTCATAATACCCACAAATGAGCGAAATAATGGCAGTTAGTCAAGAGATGTTTATCCTAGCTGTGCGAATGATGGCTCAATACTTTCGCAGTTTCAAACAGATAGATTTTTTTAAGTGTTCTCTTCACAGTTTTTCGATATTTGTTTGTGTTCAATGAGAAATATGAAATACTTCGAAGATTGCGCAATTCGAGGAGAAATGTTATTTCACGAGTTTCATTCCCTGAATCGTCATTCCTGGCATGATTCTCAGTTCCCAGAAATGACATAACTGAAGTTGTTTGAAGTCAGTCGTTAGCAGCGAGAGAATCTGCTGGATCAGTTGTCTTTTTC